GGTACATATAGGTACAGCTAAGCCTAGCCAGTTTCGCTCAGTGGTTAGAGGACTGGGCCACAGACTGAAGGGTCTTGGGTTTGATTCTAGTTAAGGGTGAGCACTTTGGTTGCAAGCTGCATCCCCAGCCTCAGTTGGGATGTGTGCAGGATGCAACCAATCAACGTTCCTCTCTCTGACTCTTTCCCTCCCTTCCATTGACTCTAAATTTCAATGGAAAAAAATAGAATTAACAACAAAAAAGATGGTATAACAAGAAAAAGATGTTATAGGTATAGAGCTGGATATGTTGGACTTCTCATTCCCATTTCATACTTTCTCTCCATCCTGCCTATTTCAGTCAGCTGCGTGCAAAGGGCTCCCCATCAGCCATCTCTTCTTGTTTTCAGAACTAGGGGAGCAACAGCCCTTTCTTTGTCCATTCAACTCCCTCTGACTGCTCAACATTTCCTTTCTTGCTTTCCTCCCCTGTAGTACTCGACATTCTGACTTATTTTATTGCCACTTATATTCAGGCTTGTCTTTCCCATTTGACTGTAAACTTAAGGGTGGAATGTACCTTATTTATCTTTGTAGCTTTATATATTCTGATTTGGATACACTGTCATTAACTAGTTATTAATAGAAAAAGAACAACAGAGAGGCCAGACATTATAGGCATGTCACCTGGGTAGTGTCACCAGGAAGCTAATTTCACACTCCCCAGGGTCCATCTCCTGCAAGTTACTGGGGGAAGGGAATAGACAATGGGAGGATGGACACATGCAGTGAAGTTAGGCTGACCAAGGGAAGATACTTGTCCATCAAATCTGGGAACAGAAATCAGTGGCTATAAGAGGTGGAGGCAATTGCACCCATGAAAATTTAGGGAATATATAAACCCCAAAAGGAGTTCACTCATTTGACACTCTGGACACTCTGGTTCCTGATTTTGCACCTGCCTATATTCCATCCATAGAAACATGGCCCATGGCCATGCTGACCCTACAGAAAATAGACTGATGGACTGCAGCTGGGAATACGAACTAAACTAGCCTGATGCAAGATTGGACTATGACCTAATATAAAATGGAGACTCTGGATACTGGCTTTTATGCTAGCCCTATTGAAGCCACAGCTACACTTCTTCCTTCAAGGGACAAAGGGAAATGGGACCTTGGAAACTCAGGAGTAATTCCACAGAAATAGAGCTTTCTACAGTATTTCATCCTTCCATGTGAGTCTCAGAAAATTCTTTTTCTTGGAATATCCCAAGAATTCCATTCCCATATGCAACAGGTGGGGTTGGGGAACTATCCTCCTCCCCTGTAATAATTTCATTAATTTCCCAGAATTTGAAATACTAGCCAAATATTTTAATCCAAATATCTGTTCACAACCAGGGTGTTTATTTTAGCCCATTCTTCTTGAAACCAAATACCCTATTTCTGTATGATAGTTTATATGATAAGTATTGAATTCCTTAAACACACCAAATCTCTCTTGAAAGAAAGGAGGCAGGGACTACAGAAGACAGAAGAGTAAACCATATTATTGTCTCAAGAAATTAATGCTACACTTGGCCAGTGTGTTCAGTGGTTGAGCATCAATCTATGAACCAGGTCACAGTTTGATTCCCAGTCGGGGCACATGCCCAGGTTTTGGGCTCAATCCCAGATGGGTGTGTGTGTGCGTGCGCCTGCGCGCACGCGCACAGTGGACTGAAGATTTTCAACATTGATGTTTCTCTCTCTCTCCTCTCTCCCCCTCTTCCTCTCTGAAATAAATAAAAATACTTTTAAAAAAGAAATTAATGCTCCAATAAGTAAGTCTCAATATAGCTCATAAATAAATAAAGAGTAAAAACGTAGAATTTACAGGTATTGCATTAAAATATAATTTCTTTTTACTTGGTGGTAAGTTCGAGACTCAAAATCTCTAAGTAAAAGATGGAAAGTTATATCAAGAGCTTCAATTATAAATGCTTCCCAAAGGAAAGATTAAAAATATTTAGGATAGCCGGGACCGGTTTGGCTCAGTGGATAGAGCGTCGGCCTGCGGACTGAAAGGTCCCGGGTTCGATTCCGGGCAAGGGCATGTACCTTGGTTGCGGCCCATTCCCAGTAGGGGGTGTGCAAGAGGCAGCTGATCGATGGTTCTCTCTCATCAATGTTTCTAACTCTCTATCCCTTTCTCTTCCTCTCTGTGAAAAATCAATAAAATATATTTAAAAAAATATATATATTTAGGATAATAGTTCTCCATGTGTAGTATACATTAAGATAAACTGTGAGGCTTTGCAAGCACAGATATGTTCCAAAGATTGGTTGATTCAGTAGGCATAAGGTGAGGTGGGGCTTGGGTATCATTATTCTATAAATGTTTCTGATATGCATCAATGTTAGAACTATTTTGGATATTTAAAAACATGAATATATGTATATTGTCTTTATATGAGCACATTTCAACTACTCATTTGCACAATTTCTGTAGAATTAAAACATATAAAAAAGTGGTAAACTATTATTGCATTAGACCTAATAGAACCCTTTTTGGAGAAAAAATAAAACAATTTTCTATAATTTGTCTATCAAAATCTTATGAAATTAAACATAAAACAAGTATTTAAAAACAGCAATAAGTTCTTTATATATATATAAAATCTATGATTTCTTTTTAAAAAGTCTAACCTTTAACAATACAGTAGGAAAAGTCTCATATAAACATAAAATGAAACTTAAAAAATAATTTGTTTCCCAGTAAGATCTTCAGCATCCTAAACACTTTTTTAAAAACTTAGTAATACTTAAATAATTAAGAACATCTTTCTCAAAACACTGCATTATGATAGACATATTTAAAGATGAACTTAACTAAAATGACACATTTGATTATCAGAATAATAGCAAATACAACTAAAATGTATGTATATTTTGATAAAGAATAGGATGGCAATAAAAAAATGACAAGACAGGAAATTCAGTCTTCAATCTTTCTTGACCTGTCAATTCTGAAGAGCATCAAGCCAATCCAATTTAAAATAAAATTATTTAAAAGCAAGATGTGATTTTTTAAAAAAAAGCATAGTAAATCAACTATAACCACTCCAATCCAATAATACTAAAAATAATAAATCTGAAGGCTAATTATGCAAAGTGCTAATGATCATATTAGAGGAAGTTTGGTAACTACTGCCCTCACAGAATTATGACATCATTATAGAGCTTTTAAAAAGAAATTTTGTTCATTAGAAGCTTGAATTAATGAAGATATGAATTAAGTAAAACCTCTCCATTTCAGCAGACTTCTTAAAGAGGCTGAGTCTTTTAATTTTCTTTAAAATCTTCACATTCCAATAAATTCCTATTGAATTTAAGCCAGAATAGATTAGTTGAACATTTTATAACTCTATAAATTGTATTTAAGCCCAGTATATTAAATTAATACACATGCATAACTAGATTTCTTAGATAAAAAATTAAATACTATGTTTGATGGAAATATGAGGCATATTTCAAACTCAATTCAATTTAAGTCAATCCTACTGGTGGTAATTTACTGTAAAAATGCTGAGTGTGCTGTGAAAAGCTTTTAACAGTTCACAAGAACGAAGTAGTTTTACAGTTCACAAGAACGAAGTAGTTTTATTATGGACTCTAGTTGGTTCCTATGACCAAGACCCCAAAGGAAATACAATTAAAGAATCAATACCAATAGAAAACACATTAACTTTATTATAGGTGTAGTTTAAAACCAAAACAAGCCACAACTAATGTATGGCAGAAATAAAATATAATGTCACCAAGGTGTTCGATTAGCGGTATAGAAACTGACTCTGAAACTGATAATGTTCAAAGATCAGGCAGTAAAATAAACCAATATGTGGGAAAAGTAGAATGGGGAAGAGTGGTAGCGTCATCAGAATAATACTGATTTTCTATGTTCACTAGGAAGAAAAAGGGCTATTATGAAGCTATAAACCACCAGCAAATGTTGTGGTTTATTATAAAATTTTAAACTCAAAACTTATAGAACACTCAAATATAAAATGTTTAATAAACTGGCTTTCTGATAACTCAAATGTTTACTTATAATTGAAGTTAAATTTCTTAAATCTATATAATTTAGATTCAGAAACCAAGTAATTTATAGTATGCATTGTTTATATTTAGAAAATTCTTTATAGAATTTTCTATTTTAAAAGTGCACAACAGGTATAAGAGAAACTTATTAAAAATTTTAAAAACTCCCTCATCTTCAATAATCTAGAAATCTATTAAAACATAACCTGAATCAAATTTTGAAACTGGCTTGTAACAAAGTGAAAATAACAGAGCTATTTAAATTCATTTTGAAAATGTAATCTCAGATAACTCAAAAAAAAAAGTACTGACCATTGGTTTTCTCAGAATAGTGAGTTTTAAAATAAACAAGTATTTATATACAGTTTTCCAGCTTTTAAGAGAAATACTTCTTTTTGTTTCATTAAAAAAGTTATCTCCAATGGAATATATTAATAGAGAAGTAGCACAATTCTTATTCAGTATCTAAATTTTCTTGGACAGAAATATGAAATTTTATTTTTTCCCCTCATAGTTTATGTATTGGTCTATGGAGCTTAGTAACAGCAATACTCTTGTGCTGATACCATCATGGATTTTACTTAAATTTTGAGGGGAAGAAAAATTTTAAATCCCACAGGTAAAAAGTGAATCATATAAACTGACAGATTCCACTTCAATAAATGAAAGGCAAGTCTAAAATGCAAAATAAAAATGGAATTTAGGCAGCTCTAAAAGAAAAGGAAACTTAACCACCCAAAATAGTGCTACTGACATAAAAGCCAAAACTCAAAACAAGCATTGCAGTTATGGGATTCAGCATCAGGTGCCTTTACTTCAGTGAATGAATAATGGCCACAACTCAAAGGAAGGGTAATTTAAGATGAATATACGCACCTTACCAGAGATGTTTATGCTTACTACCAGAGATGTTTTAGCAAATCCATAATCCTCACAAAGTCAGTACAATTGTTGTAAAAAAATCAATTGTGGTTCTGAATACCCATTCACAGTTGACCTCAACAGGGTGTCTGATGTCAGAGACTGGTTGTCTGTGACCGGCAGAAGCATGTGGTGGTCCTCAGGCCCCAGTGGAAGGGCTAGTGGCAAAGTCATATCAGAAGGCTTCACATCCAAAGTTTCTGACAAAGGGCTTTTTTGTATGGAATCTTGTTCACTTAATGGATGATCCTCTATACTAGTATCTAGAATTTTATCTGCCCCTGAAATGGAAGGGGGGAAAAATTATACAATCTTTAAAGACAAAACAAAGCTCTTACCATTCCCAGAACTTGCATTCCAACCACCACACCTTTACTCAGGCTACTACTATTTTGTTGAATATCCCTCGTTATCCGTACAAGTTCAATATGGGCTTCGAGACTAGGTTCAAACATCAACTTCACAATAAAAAGGAATTAAATTGCCCTAGCCAGTTTGGCTTAGTGGACAGAGCATAGGCCTGTGAAGGGTCCAGGGTTCGATTCTGGCAAGGGCACAAGCCCGAGTTGTGGACTCAATTCCCAGTGGGGGACATGCAGGAGGCAGCTGATCAATGATTCTCTCTCATCATTGATGTTTCTATCTCTCTCTCTCCTTTCCTCTCTGAAATCAATAAGGAAATATGTATTTTTAGTTTAATAAAAATGGACTGGCTGAGTTGCTTCTTACCTATTTTACCACTCATTTGTCAGTGTTTCATATACTGCCTTGTGACATGCTATCCTTTATAATAAAAGGGTATTATGCAAATTGACCGAACTGTGGAACAACCGGTCGCTATGACGTGTCCTGACCAATAGGGGGCAGATACTCAATGTAGGAGCTGCCCCCTGGTGGTCAGTGAGATCCCACAGTAGCCATGCTCAGCCACAAGCTGGGCTGAAGGCTGGTGAGCACAGCAGCGGAACTAAGTTTGTCTGACTGGCTTAGGGAGCCCACTCCTTGCATGGGATACCTCCTGAGGGCTCCTGGATTGCTAAAGGGCAGCGCACAGGCCAGGCTGAGGGCCCAGCCTCTAGTTTCTCTTATCACTATTTAACATTCAACTTAGGTATGCTTTGAATCCTCAACTAGATTAAAGTACCTAATAGAGCATTATAAATAATAAATACTCTACAGTATTTATTACTGACTTTATTAACAAGTTGTTTATACTAACTAGTCTGTAAATTCAAGTTCAGAGGTAAGGTATTTTCATATATTTTCAGAGGTAGGAAATTCTGCTCTACTCAAGTGAATATACTGACTAAAGATACAATTTGCCTTCAAATTTTCTACCAGCTTTACCATGCTCCTGACAATCCAAAGTATTGACATGATTACAATCTATTATTGTTAGACAAAACTGTGTATTTGCTTGTATAAAAATGTAACTCGGTAACTCAGTTCTTGCAGAATACTCTTCAGTTCAATCAAGAATGTGGCTTACAGCCGAAACCGGTTTGGCTCAGTGATAGAGCCTCAGTCTGCGGACCGAAAGGTCCCAGGTTCGATTCCGGTCAAGGGCATGTACATTGGTTGCGGGTACATACCCGGTAGGGGGTGTGCAAGAGGCAGCTGGTTGATGTTTCTCTCTCATCGACGTTTCTAGCTCTCTATCCCTCTCCCTTCCTCTCTGTAAAAAAATCAATAAAATATATTAAAAAAAAAAAAAAAGAATGTGGCTTACAATTTCCTGTCCCAGTGATTCTCTCCACAATGTTGCCTGGAATGAACACTTCCTTTCCCATTTCCATCCTCTTAACTCTTCTCTGTCCTGCAAGTTCCCCAGGATTAGTTCTTTCTAATACCTTAGAAGTAATTTATCTTCAATACTTAGGGTCTCTATTATAGGCTACATTTTTGTCTTGTAATCATATTGATTTAGATTTCTGGTCTCCCACACTAGATTGCAAGTTCTTTGAAGGTTAGACTATGCCTTGTTCAACTTTATAGACCCTGAAGTTATGTGTACATTAGAAGTACTTAATAAATTATTGTGTAATTAATGACTCAATGCAGTCTACAGATGTTACTAATTAAATCCTTATATTTATGTTTCCTATCAAAGACTCACTAGCATTTCTATACACTGAAGAAGCTTGGTGTTTTGTTTTGTTTCTAATCAGGACAGAAGAAAATGGTAAGCACAGTGAAACTTTTTCAGGGAATTCATTTTAAGCAATACACATAAAATGTTGTACTCTGGCTCTCTTATTTTTATAAATTACTAGTATAGTAATACTAGAGGCACGGTGCATGAAATTCATGCAAAGGGGGGGTTTGTCCCTCAGCCCAGCCTGCACCCTCTCCAATATGGGACATCCCTCTCACAATCCAGGACTGCTGGCTCCTAACTGCTCATCTGCCTACCTTCCTGATTGCTCCTAACCACTCCCCTGCCAGCCTGATTGATGCCTAACCCTCCCCTGCCAGCCTCTTTGTACCTAACTGCCCTCCCCTGCAGGCCTGTTCTGTCCCAACTGCTCTCTCCTGCAGTCCTGGTCTCCCCCAACTGCTCTCCCCTGCAGGCCCGATCACCCCCAACTTCCCTCCTCTGCTGGTGTGGTCACCACTAAAAAAAAAATCAGATTTTTGAATGGAGAAAATAGTTAATATTATTTATTAGAAGATCAATATGGAAAATTCAGAGTGAACTTATATGCAAATTATAAAGCTACTTTTCTCATATGTATCTAGTTAAAAAAAAAATCTAAGCTGTTATAATCAATAATGAGATCACCAAAATTTTAAAACATAAGCCTTTACCAGAATGAACTTTTGTTTTGTGCTTCTTTAAATTTTTAATATCCGTGTAAGAATTTCCACATAATTCGCAGATAAATGGTCTTTCTCCTGAAAAATAAGTTAAAAGCTTAAAACCTCAATATTTTAGAAGTCAAGCTAAGACAAAAATATCAATGCTTATGAACACAAGGCAAACATTACTACACTGTTTAAATTTATTTTCAAATTACCATTTTAATCATCTGGTTCTAATATAGTGAAATAAAAACTTCTATAAACATAGGCACTCCTTTACTTTATGTAAAACATCCCCATTTTAGGGAAAATTGAGCATTTCATTAACAGAAATTTTAAACTAAAACAAAAACAAAATTTTTATTTCTATCAGACATTTATTAAGTGCAATTAAATACCAGACCTTGGTTAAGAGATAGAGTGGAGAGAGAAAGCATAATTATGGTTTCTGTTCTCAAGTAGTTTAAAAATTGGAAAATCTTTTAAAAACCTGACAATAAAATGCTACAAAATTGTAATTCTCTTGAAATAAGAACTGTCTGATGCTTAAAGTTGTCAACAAATTTATTAAATGTTTCCTAGGTGTTCACACTATTCAAAACAGAAATTATAAGGAGTAATTTTTAAAAATAAAAATAACAGCACATTTTCAAAGTGGCCTTTTCCTTTAATACTTTTTCTACATTTAATATTTTCTTCCTACAACTTATAATCACAACTTACTACCTTTTACAACAAACATGCCAATATTAAAATTTATTCCTAAAACTTGCTGAATACTGTTTAATAAAAAAAAATATATAAACGATTCCTTTTCATTTATTGGTATATCTGTGCAATTAAATCCAAATCACTTAAAAAACTATTATCTGGCATACCTCTTAGAAAATCTACACAATTCTCGACCAAATTTATTTCACACTTCAAACAAGTAAGCAAATGAAAAGGTGATATTTATGCATTAAAATATTACTGAAAAGTACAACCTATATTATATAGTCCGTAATGGCTTAAAAGTCAAGGTTTATATAAAAAGAAATTAGAGAGAACAAAAAATAATACATTCTCCCTAAACACAGACCTGTATGGGATCGAAAGTGTTTGTTGAGCTCTCCTGAGGAAATAAAACTTTTCCCACAAATACCACATATGTATGGTTTTTCACCTAGATGAAAATAAAAGATAGCGAAGTGGTGTACTATACCAATATAATATATATTAATTACAATAATTTAAAGTAAGCTGATTTAAAATATTAAAATTAAAACCTCTTTATAATATATTTTAGAGGTATTTTCAGTGTGATCCAACTGAAATGAATACTAGTAATTATGTTATACTGTTCATGTAACCTGATGCTTTTGATCTAATAAAACTTTATTCCTGCAAATGTCCTTCTAGTAGCTAAAATCAGGCAAGAAATTAGATTTTTATATGGTAAAAACATGTCAATTCATCAACCATATTCCAATTCTTGCTATGTACTATGTTATTAAAGAGGAATAAAATTTAGAAAAAATAAAAACCTTTGAATAAGATTTGTTTCAAAACTAATACTTCACATTTATAGTATCTGTTTACTTTGTAAATATTAGAATGTCTGTATAATAAAAGTCCTAAGAAGTTATAAAATCAATGTTCTACCCAAACCCACCACTACCCCTTAATTTCATTTTATAGGTTTGTCCAAAGGAAATGAAACTTCAAGAGGCTAAGGAGTTTCTAAGGTCACAAAATATGTCTCAATTCAAGTTTATATATTGTCAAAAATTATCTGATTTTAATGTATATGTTAAATGATAAAAATGTCACCATTTATTATTTTAGAAAATAAGTGTTTTTATATCTAATAGCTATCTAAAAATCATAAGCATAAAAAGTTTCAAAAAGCACAAACACAACCGATGTATAACTACAAAGTCTGTAATCTACTTTATGAAATCTGTAAAGGCTCAGCTTCCCCTTTTATTTACAACTTTCATTGTTTTAAACAGTCTCTGCACACCAAATTCTTACCTGTATGTTTTCGAGAATGAGTGATAAGAGAACTAGAGACAGCAAATGCCTTCCCACAAGTATCACACACATAAGGCTTTTCTCCAGTATGCCTACGAACATGATAGGTCAGTGTGCTGGCTTGGGCAAACCTCTGTCCACACCTATCACAGACATATGGCTTCTCTCCACTATGCTTCCTATTAGTAAATAAGTATAAAGTTATATGCTAATAAGTAAAACAATTTGGAGCATTTTTCATATAGTATTTTAGTTCATTTCATCTTAACAGACCAATTACATGAACTTTAAACCAACAGGTTCAATGGTTTGGTTGTTATCAAAATATCAGTTCTGAAACCAGGTCAAAAAGTTCTGCCATATCTTTACATGGTTGTCAAGTGTGCCCCTAATTCTGCAGGCAATTATTTTTCCTTGTCCATTCACTCAACTCTTCAAAACTCTTTCCTCAAACCTTCAGGACCTCCTCACCATCTTCACGCTTAGCTGATTTCTTTGCTTCCTTTTTCACCAAGAAAAATTTAAGCAATCATAAATTTTCCACTATCACATCTATCTATAGAACTCTGTACCTATATAGTTTGCTTTCTTTCTTGTTAACTCTGAGGGTGACAGTTCATCTCAATCTCACTACTCCCATTTGTATAATTAAGATACTACCCCCTTCATGTTACATCATCCATTTTTCCTACCCCATTGGATTGTAGCATACACACTGATGTCTCCCATCTTAAAAAAAAGACCCTTGACTTACTTGCTCCTCCACTTTCCTCACACTTATCAAAAACTTGAGTCTCCAACTGTTCTTTCGTTTCTTCTCTACTAGCCTCTACTAACACACTGCTTTTGTCAGAAGCACTGATTGCTGACCTCTCACTTGCCTAAGTCCAAGTCAATTCTGTCCTCATCTCCCTATCATCACAGTATGACAAAGCCAATCATTCCCCTCTGGAATCATTTTCTTCACCTGGATTCTGGGGCAACCCACTCTTCTGGTTTTTCTCTTATATTGGCTGTTCCTTCCTCGTCACCTTTGCTAGTTCTTGTCCATCTCCCAGGACTTTTGTGTGTCTCACAACTTCAATCCTTTGATCTCTTGTCTATACACATTCATTCTCTTGGTGTGTTATGGATGTTGATGACTCTCAAATTTATATTTTCTGTATGTTGATGACTCTCAAATTTATATTTTCAGATTAAACCCTGAATTCCAGGCTTAGACAACCAACTGTATTATATAGTTCCATTCAGATGTCTAATAGCCATCTAAAATTTAACATATTCAGAATTCTTCTAACAACTCCTGTAATCCTGCTTAAATCCTCTATCCACAAATTTTCTCTATTTCATTTAATGGGAATTCCATCTTTTCAGGTGGTCAGGCTCAAAATGTCAAAATCATCTTTGATCTTCCTTCCTTCCTTCTTCTCTCCCCTCCTCCCAACTTTCCTTCCTTCCTTTCATGCCCCACATCCAATCTGCAGCAAATTCTATTTGTCTTACATTTATAAATATATTCAGAATCTGATTACTACTTATCTTTCCCACTGCTACCAATCTAGCTGACCAACATCATTCTCACTTGGGTTTTACCTGGAGTATCCTAACTGGTAAATTTGCTTCTACTCTTGCAATCAATCCTATAATCATTTCCAAATATAGCAGCCAGAATGATCCTCTTATAAGACAAGCAACATCACATCACTTACTTCTCAATCTTAAGAATAAAAGCTTTATAATGGCATATAAAACTGTACAGCATCTGGACACCTTAATAACATTCTGATCTTATTTCCGTCCAGTCACCACAGTTTCCTTGACTGTGTTAAGGATACTGTATAGTGGAACCACATTTAGAACTTAACTGTCCTGAATTCTAATACAGCAGTAAATTCATAAGACTATAGTGAATGACAGACTCAAAGATTAAACGTTTTTTGGTTTTGTTTTTTACCTTGCATGAATCTTGAGATTGCTAGAAGTTGCAAATTGTAAATTGCATACATCACATTTATAGGGTTTTTCCTCACCATGATGCATGCGACTATGGAAGACGAGCTGGCATTTCTGAGCAAATCCTTTATCACACAAATCACATTTGTATGGCTTCTCACCTAAAAGAAGTAGTAAATAAAATTGATATTTAGAAAGAAATACTCTGTCTTTGTTGCTTAAATCATAAACTTTCAAAAGTGTCCAACAGAACTAGTTTCAGTATTCAGAAAATGTTAAATTGTTTTAAGTAAAAAAAAGCAAATAGGATCTCTTCTTCCAGATTTATTGAAAACAACAGTGGAGTTAAAAGAAATTAGTGTTTCTTAATTCATATTAGTGAAAAGTGATCAATGAAATATACATTGCATCTTAAAAACTACAAATCTAAGTGTACCTATAAAGGAAAATGTAGATGCTGAGGAAGAAATATTGTGTAATGCTAATATTATGTTCAGAAGTTGACAAAGTCTAGGAAGAAGGTGGTGAAATGTGTTAGCCAAATCTGAGAATTGGCCTGAGTTGTAATTACTTTTTTCTCTTTATCAGTTTTTAAATCTTTGTGTTAATATCCAAATTTATGCTTATTTTAACTCTGAGGAAAAATGGTATAAAGAGCTCATGAATTAAGGACTAGAGAACCAGTTACAATAAATAGCGATTAAACACTTGCTCACAATTACAAAGGAAATCTTCAAAACTTCAACATCCTAAATACTTTTAAGAATACAAGTATATCAAATTTTAATCATAGTCAACACTGTATAATAATAACTTCTCTATTACAAGCACTATTTCAGTTACAGTATACAAACAATTGTATCTCCCATAAATCATCTTACCTGTATGAGTCCTTACATGTGTTTTCAGCTGGTTACACTGGGTAAATGCCTTTCCACACAAATGGCAAACATAAGGTTTGACTCCTTTATGTATTCTCATGTGCCTTCTCAAGCTGCTGGCTTCTGAAAACACTTTCCCACATGTGTTACACATTGGCTTGGCCTTGGAGTACCTCTGATCCAGCTCTTCCCCAGAGCTCTCCAGCTCATAAGAGTTCTTGACACTAGCTATATTGGACATAGAGTGTTCTTTCAGAGCACAGTTTGGCTGTGATTTTCCACGTTTCCGTTTCACTGGAACAGTTTGCACAATATCTTGTGCTGGAAAAGTATTTTCCACAACTGATGTCAACTCAAGTTCTGAATTATCATTTCTTTGTGCAACCTGTTCCATTACAGGTGTGGACAATTTATTTGCATCTAGAAATAATTCAACAGATGTTTTCTCTAAAAGGTTGCTGGGATATTGCACTGTTTTACTCTGCCCTGTTTTCTGCGAGTTGAAGGACTTCTTCTTCTTTTTAGTTTGAGATGACTTCTTTGCTAAAGCCCCTTGTTTAGGATTTGTCTGAACTAAATCTGTAGACACTTCTGATTTCTCCCGACTGTTATAATCTCGTAGAGTAAGAAGACAAGTCTGTTGATTCAATTCAATGTTTCCAGTAATACTAGATATCTCTGTAGAAGAGGGATTAGCAATAAAAGCAAAATCTTCCATCTTTATTTTACATTTAGTGACCACCTCTTCCACTTTGAGATAGTCAGCAGCCTGATGAATTTCTTTAACATTCCAACTGTAAGGAAACAAGGCTAAATGACAGCATTCTGATCAAAGAAAAACTTTTTTTTTTAAAGAAAAACTGTTTTTGAAACAGAGCTGTGCATGTATTTCAATGTCTTTAAAGCCCTAATGAAGCAGAATGATGAGAAAGGCATGACTAAGAATAAATCTACAAAATTCATTCATTCACTCAGAGTAATGTTTAGGCAAAAATCCAGCTTTACAAATAGACAGAATGGCAGAACAATCAAACAACCAATCAAAGTATATTATGCTAATGATATGCTAAGGCTGCTCAACTGACCACCAGAGGGGCAGATGCTCCAACGGGTAGGTTAAGCTTGTTGCTGGGATCCGGCCTATTGGGACTGAGTGAGATGGGCCGGACATCTCACTCAAGTCCTCCTGTGGTCCCTCCCAGGCCCAATCGTGCACTGGTGGAGTCCCTCAGCCTGGCCTGCACCCTCTAGCAATCAGAGACCCTCAGAGGATGTCAGATAGCTGGTTTCAGCCCAATCCCACAGGTCACTTGCCTTGGGAGGGTGCCGGATGCAGGGCTCATGGCTGGTGAGCCTCTCCCGATTGGCACTGATTAGGCCTGAGCAGTGGGGCCAGGATGAGCGGGAGCAGAAGGTAGAAGCTGCAGGCGGTGTTTCAACCTGATCCCTGCAGGCCACCCAGAGGGACCTCACCCATGCACAAATTCATGCACTGGGTCTCTAGTCTATTATAATACCCATTTTACATACAAATGAAGGGTCAAAGGTCCAAAGAAATGAAGTAATTTTTCCCAAATAAATATTAGAACTAAAATTTGACCAAGGTATCGCTTCTCGGCCTTTTGGCTAAGATCAAGTGTAGTAAAATTTGACCAAGGTAGCCGAAACCGGTTTGGCTCAGTGGTAGATTATTGGTCTGCGGACTGATGGGTCCCAGGTTCAATTCCGGTCAAGGGCATGTACATTGGTTGCCAGCACATCCCCAGTGGGGGATGTGCAAGAGGCAGCTGGTCGATGTTTCTCTCTCATCGATGTTTCTAGCTCTCTGTCCCTCTCTCCTCCTCTCTGTAAAAAATCAATAAAATATATTTTAATAAATAAATAAAATAAAATTTGACCAAGGTAATCTGGCTCCTGAGGCCACTTAATTCTCTACTACTATGTTTTCTCTCTTTCTTTGTATTTAATGTTATTTTCTTTCTTAATTTATTTTTTAAATTAATAACTAGCATTCTAGGTCTTAATTTAAAGGAAGGAGGGAAGAAGGAGAGAGGGGGAGAAGGAGAGGAAGTGGGGGAGGGGGAGAGGGAGATGGGAACAAGGAGGGAGACAGGGAGACAGACAGACAGACAGACAGTCACCTCCTGAAACCTGAGAATGTGCCCTGACCAGTTCCTGAATCTACCACCTCTTGGCATATAGGCTGATGCTCCCACTAACAGATTCACGCTGGTCAGTACTATTCTGTTTTCTTAATCACTAAATTACACAAACTTCCTATTTTTGATAAACTCATCTCTTACACATTTATGGCTGGGCTCAAATAATTAGCTCCTCAGGAAAGGTATGTACCAAAAAAGATTGACTGAACATCTGGCTTTTGTTTATGAAAGTGCAAAGTCAGATGCTCTTCAGTATGTTCAGATCAACTCAATATTTTCCTGGCTAAGTTCACTGAGAAAGGGAAAACACTAAATTGAAGAGCAACCAAAATGCACTGGTTTTGTGGTTATTTTATATTAAATATTCTGGATTTTTAATCAGAAGCACTTCTATAGTCAACTTCTCAATAAATTCAAATAATTTATCATGAGATTAATTTATTACACTGCTGTTCCTTTATTCAACTCATATAAAACTGAATCAATACACCATTTAAAAATTAATTCCAAAACTGCATGAATATTTCTTTTTCAAAAGTATTAACAAATATCATGGTTCTAGCTTTTTAAAGAGATGCATTTCCATGATAACGTGCAATATAAAAGAGAGAAGAATTTTGTTTAATGTGCATGTGCTAATCTCTACAAAATCATCTGGAAAAGAACTTTTTTTCAAAATATTAATGGCTATCAATAGGTGGCAGAATTTCAGGTGTTTCATTTTTTTCTTTTTCTACTTGTTCTCCAAGAAATGTAGAACTAAAGTGGGAGAGAAAGGTAGAGAAGAGAAAACCAAGGAAACTAATGTTCACTGGGAGATGGGCCTTCAAGTAAATCTTAAAATCTGCACAGTAATATCAAGGTAATTATTACCATTCTGATTTTCAAAGATTGGAAAACTGAAGCTCAGACAGGTTGCATCTTGCTCAAAGAGATATAGTGACTGACAAGCAAGATCTAATTCTAAAGCCCATAATCTCTCTCTGTCAGAAGATTATGATCTATTCATGTTCACACTTTCATAAGAGATGGAGGAAAGACAAGAGTAATCTGTATTCTCCTTCTTTTAATTCGCTCCACCGTTTCCCCCACAAACTACTAAATGCATTGATACTAATTATACAGATCATTACATATCAAGACACACAGTGCCTTCATTATCAAAGTCCTCAGTTAGTGTAGTGACAGCATTAAGCATATTAAAGAACCATTGGAGCACCTTGGACCTAACTTAAACATTAGTATTGATAACTTTACAAAGATAACAGCAGTCATTGCCACTGAAGTTATTTTCCTAAATCAAGATCAGGAAGAGATCCTGCACACTATTTATAGTTGGAAATGGGAGTAACTATTAAATGAACACAGAGGTTCTTCCTTCTTTCTCCAATCTATACTCCTTCATCTCAAACAACTTAAAAGGTAGGGGAAAGTGAAGGAAAGAGAAGACCCGAAGAACATAAAGACCAAAGAGCAAGGGGAAACTCCAATTCACTTAGAATTCACTGTGTTTAATCTTCAAATTTACATAATCACCAGCATTGTTTCAGTAGGTAAATCAAATATGTCAGAAACAAGGCTTTTAATCACATTTACATCTGTGCTTAAAAAAAAAAATGTGATCTGTTCATCAAAATCAGTGATACTGGCTTCTTTAAAAAACGAACAGAAAAAAACATTGTGCACTTCAATATTTTAAGATTCCAAGTTCAGAGACTGAATGTAACAAATACAAATCTGCCGATTAGAAGTGGGGAGAAAAAAAAGACGTGTGCTTTACCTGTCAAGGTTTAAAGTTCCTGTGTATATAAACTCCAACAGCTTCTTGAATCCATCCGCCTTCACCTGACTCTGATCAAGAAAGACATTGTTCTCAGAAGTGCTTCTGTAGATTGCCCCGAAATACTCACTAAACGAGGCCAGCACATTCCGATGAGCTTTAAACTGGAATTCCCCAATCACTATGGTGCAGTCACAGAGAAAACCTGCTTCCCGTTGTTTGTTCAGTCTCTCTAAAAGGTGCTCACAGTGGTGTGAATACTGCATTTTGGTATCAGAATGGATTTTTACCCTTGTTCTAAAAGACAAAAAAAAAAAATAGTAAGTCAGTAATCCTAAGTTTTCACCAAACCTGTCACCCAAGCAATTGGTAAGGGGAGAAGGGACGCAGGACATAACATGAACAGGAATGAAGTAAGTTCTCATCTTACTCTCCCCACCCCCCAACCCCCTCCCAACAGACCAGAAAATTCTTATCAAACAGATATGGTCCAGATGCTCCAGGGATAAGTCCTTCCTATCTCTGCTTCACCTTGGCCAGCTAACAAAATCCTTTGTACACGTCAAGAAATGACAATGGTGGAAAACAATTCCACAAGCTGAAAAGGAAGCACCACAACATTTCTTGCCTTCGTTTGGGCAAAAGTAAAAAGGATCCCAAGTCAATTTTATAGAAAAGATTCCTTTATTAACTTTTGGTCGAGAATATGTTTGTATATTTTCAGAAAACTACTCCAAGACACATGGGGATTCCTGCAACAGAGAGGAGTTGTCAGGTCTGCTCCAACCACGAAAACAAGAGAAAAAGTCCAGGACGTCTGGCCACGCTGGCAGACAGCAGCTGTGCGTCGCTGCAGGTTGCCCAGGACCAAACCAGAGAGGGTCCGACCTCCATTGCCACCATCTGTCCATCATCCAGCTATCACTGCTGACATGTACACATTAAGGAACTATTTGACATTGAAACTGGGTCTCAGAACTGTTGGACACTGAAATTGGGACTCAAACGTTTTTTGTTATTATATGTTCATTTCTAGTCTGCGGTTGCAAGATTTTTCAAAGAAAAGAAATGGGGGAAAATAGTTACAGAGATAAAGAACCATTGAACAGACTGTCAAACTATAGAAGGATGGCAAGGGAGGTTGGGGGGCTGTAAGAGATCAACTGAAGGACTCGTAGGCATGCAGATACACAAAACCAATGGATACAAGACAGGGAAGGGGGAGGGCCCAAGGGGGCAGGTGAAGGCATATGGGGGGGGGGGTAAGTGGGGGCAGGTCAAGGGGGGAAAAATGGAGATATATGTACTACTATTTGTAATGCTTCAAACAATTAAAAAAATATATTTAAAAAATTTCTCGCCTTTGCACTGGCTGAACCTTCAAATGAACCTTCAAACTTTTAAGCGCAGTAGGCATAAAAAAAGAAAAAGAAAAAAGAAAAGCGAACCAGTGAGAAACAATTCCTTGGGACAGAGGAGGAAAAGACCGGCACGAGTTGTGATAACTGCCTCCACACCACGGAAACCCGTGCGCTCCCGCGGGGCACACAGCTGCTCCAGACTCGGGGGTGGAGAACCGGCGGGGCCGGGAGTCAAAGGTTCAGTCCCGACCCCGGGGGAGGCCACGCCCCCTCACCTCCCCCTTCTCCGCTCCAAGCGGTTTCCAGTGGCCGCCAAAGCCCGGCTCTCCGGCTCCTGCCCTCGGCCCGGCTCCCACTCCCCCAAATCCCCACCGCAGAAGCTGTAGCCAAGGCCAACAGCGGGCTGCCTTGACCAAGCTCCCCACGTTCATCATGTCGTCCCGCCCTGCGCTCGAGCTCCAAGGTGCCCGCTCCCCCTCGTCCCCCACAAGTGGCCCGGGGTCCGGAAAGAGCGGGAACAGTGGGCTGTGGGGGGGGTGAGAACAGAACTCACCTATAGCAACCCAACCGGGGACACTGTTTCTTCACTCTCTCCCCGCCATCTTGGGAGGACGTCACCACGCCGGCTCCGCCTTTCCCTTCTTCCGCCACGATGACGTCACTTCCGGGTCCGGGAGCCCCTTGGCAACACTGGAGGCTTTAGGACCTCGGAGGTCCAACACCATCCGGGGCTGAACTAGCCGGTCCAGACACACACCCCCTTCACCCCAACACCTCACATGTCACCCCCCCTCCACACACACACACACACACACACACACACACACACACACACACACACACAGTCCCCAAAATAGCGAGCGTCAAAAATAGGAGGCCTCAGGGATCGCTCGGAGCGCCCCGCCGGCATTCCTCATCCTCGGCGTCCAGGTCGGCCAACTGTCCGCGCGTCTCGCGCTCGCTTCGCGGGCCTCGTTCCTGGAGCTCGAGCGCTCGGTGCATGCTGGGGCTTGTAGTTTCTTGTCTTCTCCCATCATCCTTTCCTTCCTCGGGGAAAAACTGTACGGGGCTCTCTGCCACCGGGAGTTTTTGAGCTGAGGCTGACGACCCCTTTTCAGTGTACATACCCGAACGCTCTTGGGACCTCTTGGGTTTTGTTTGCATCAGCCAACTTGTAGCCCACTTTCCACGATACCCTGGCCGGGGGATAGGAGTCTGGCGCGTGAAAAGCCGAGCAAAGATGTAGGGAACACTGGGCATGCGCAACGTTGGAGGAAGGTGGGCGTTATACCGGAAAAAGTTCTGAGCCTGGACTAAAAATATTTTAATGCAATTATTTACGTCGAATTCAAAAATTTTTATACAATATTTTTTAATAAATCCTTATTGTTCAGTTGATTACAATTGTTTCTCCTTTCCCTCCCTTCTCCCATAGCTCCCCTCCACCTGGTCCCCACTCCACCCACTGCCCTTACTCCTCTCTCTCTCCCTTCCCAATTCAGATTTTGTAGGGTAAAGGAAAGGGATGCCAGTTTGCATAACGTACGAGAGGCGCAGACACATTAAGATAAATCATGTTGTGTGATGGTAGATTTTTTTTCTAGTCTACTCGCAGACATCTTAAGTCTCAGGAAACCAAAACTTCCAAAATTTCTTTATTATTAAAAGTTGTGTCAGGACCATAGGAAGTTTGCTCGCAACTTTGTTTTAAAGGGCAGTCTCCGCTGAACTTATTTGTTTCTTCTCTCTGAAGATTTTTCCAACTTCTGTCTTCTCATTAAGAAGTCTATTTGTATACAAAAACACAGCCATGGTGTTTATTAAAGAAAAAAATTGAGGCTGGTTCTTTCTTGATTTTCTCACTACACTCAAGGGTTTCGCTACTTGGGGAGCTGTATTTAAAAAAATAACAGAGGTGATCATTGCAAGGTAGTTTTATTGCAGCAAGTAAAGGAGATGGGGATTCATGGCCGAAGCTGTCTCCCAGAAGAGTCAAGTACACACTGATTTTTCCTTTACAGTTGGCTACATTTGTCTATTCTAGTTCCTGTCGAGCTCAATCTGTTTACAGTTGGTATGCAAAATACTGTGCTACATTTTAACATTTAGCAAGAATAACATTTAGTAAGAATGACCCAGACCTTGAGACCTTTGTCCTAACAATTTTATATTTATTGTATACTTTTTTCTTATTTCACTTTTTTTTTTGTCAGAACACTTTTTGATGATTTATTAGTTCAGAAATATTTATGAGCCTCTCCTAGGTGCCAAGCATGACACTAGTATAAAGAATAAGAATAAGAATAAGAATAAAGCATGGTCTATGGGGAAAAAGAATGGAAAACCTAATGACATAATACTAGAGTGTTCAGGAGGCCACAGAGCTAAGAGTTTTCACACTGATTTTCCCTGCTAGGTTATACATTACATTATTTTCCCAGTATCAGATTGTGAGTTGAAGTAAAACAAACAAACAAAAAACCTTTAATCAAAGAAAATTAAGTCTGGAGCCCTTCTTGCACATGGCACGCCACGAATAAAAACATTTGGTAAACAAATGAAATAATACCCAAACCGAAAGTTGAATTTTCGAAGGGTGTACAAGTTACTGTCTTAAAAAAAAATAAAAGTAATAAAAAATAGTTTTTAAAAAGGCAGATTGATTTTAGGAAAAGTTGTTTCCGCCCGGTTTCGAACCGGGGACCTTTCGCGTGTTAGGCGAACGTGATAACCACTACACTACGGAAACCTGGGTGTCGGTGGGGCTTCAGGAAGTCCTAGATATAGACATTGTAATTTGCCGTTCACTTAAAGTTAACTAAATTAACATTAATGTAACTTTTAACTGAAAGAAGAAAATAAAGGCAGAAGGAGGAAGATAACTATGTTGAACAATGCTAATAGTTCAACAATTGGAATTTGGTGCACTTATTTTTAAAGCTCCCTCCCCAGCGGTACCCGCTAGTTGCCCTTCTTTTGGGTACACTTTCTTCTATGAGAAAGTAGTGTTTACTATGCATCTTTTCCCAGAGGAGCGTTGCTGAGAGTGCCAGGTGAGTTTTTGGGCTTTGCTGGCCTGGAAGGGCGCGTCCTCGCGGATCCCAGAATCCCGATTCCGCAGTGGCGCGCCTCACCAAACCCCAACGCCGGGATTTAAATCAGCCGGTGAGAAGGCTACGCTTCCAAGCCCCTAGTGGAGGGACGTGTAACAGCGTTTGAATTTCCTCCCTGGCTTCTGTACACCAGAGCTTCTAGATTGCATAGTTACAGGTGTGCAAAATTGGGGGTGAAACTCAAGATACCAAGACGCACCTTTTTGGCACGCAAGGTACTCACTAAGCCTGAGTGAGCTTCATCTGACTGAAGGAATATCACATTTGCTGCAAAGAGGTAGACACACCCTTAAGCCTAAAAATCCAGACTTTTTCAGAATAAGAATTAGCTTCCATATTACCCTGGAGATAACCCGATGAGATTGCATTCATTAGTTAATTAATGAATTAATGCGAGGTTCTACCATTTTGGTTTGGAGTGCATTATGCTTACAAGCCACACAAATAAAAAAAAATATGCCCAGTATATAGCAACAATAATAAAAGTTTTTAAAATCCACTTCGTTTTGTTTTCCTTTTTCTTTTTTGCTCAATTTCCTCTACCCCTTCTCCAGCTCCCCTCCTAACACTTATCAGACTGCTCCTCTATGAATGAGTCTGTCTCTATTTTTTGCTTGTTAGTTTTTTCTGTTCATTAGATTCCACCTATGAGTGAAATTATATTTTAAAACCCACTTTACATTTGTATTGACTTGAGAGAGGGGGAGGGGACATAGATTTACTGTCCCATTTACTTATGTATTCAATGGTTGCTTTTTGTACTAGTTCGTATGTGTCCGGACCTGGAATCGAACCCGCAACCTTGGAGTATGGGTTGGACACTATAACCAACGGAGAGCTTGCTAACACCCACTTTACTAACATCCTAGCGTTTTTCCTCCTCCTCTTTCCAGAAATTGATGGGGTTTCAAAAGCAGGAACCCTGCCTCCCCTGCTGGGGCTATCTTCCCCTCTCTAACCTCTCCACCTCTCCCCACAGCTTTCCCCAAGCCCCTGGACAGACACTTCATCACTAGAATCCAATGGTTTGGGGGGAAATAAAACGTTTTCTAGCTAGTCGAGGTATTGGAGAAAACAATTGTAATTTGCCGTTCACTTACTCTTAGTTAAAGTTAATGTAGATTTTAACTGAAAGAAGAAAATAAAGCCAGAAAGAGGACGATAACTATGTTGAACATTGCTAATAGTTCAAAAACTGGAATTTGGTGCACTTATTTTTAAAGCTCCCTCCCCCGCGGTACCCGCTAGTTGCCTTTCTTTTGGGTACGCTTTCTTCTATGAGAAAGAAGTGTTTTCTATGCATCTTTTCCCAGAGGGGCGTTGGAAGGGTTAGGTTGTATTTTCGGGAAGGAAATTGGGTTTTCCTGATCTTGGTGTTCCAGGATTCCAGGAGTCAGGGAGAGAAGCCGCGGGGACAGCGGTAATTGGGAGCTCTGTGGGCCCGGGACGTCACTGCCCGGCGCTGCGGGACCTCGAGGGGCTTTTGTGACGCGGGGTTCCAGGCTCCCGCCCGCACGCATCACTGGAAGCAGCCGGTGAGGGCAGGGACCGCGCCCCGCACCTCCCGTCCTCCCTCCCGGTGCGGGCCGCAGCCGGGACCGAGAGGGACCGGCCGGGAGCCCCGGGGCGGCGGCAGCGCGGGCAGCATGAGCATGTACCAGCTCCCGGTGGTGATGGACAACGGCTCGGAAATGATGAAGGCGGGCCTGGCGGGGTCCCGGGAGCCCCAGTTTGTGTACCCGAACATTATGGGCCGGGTCAAAGGCCAGAGCAGGGCGGCGCTGGGCGTGCAGGAGCTGTACGCGGGCGACCAGGCACACAGCCGGAGAAGCGCGCTGGCCATCAGGTGGGCACCGCCTCTTCCCGGCGGGCAGCACCTGCGGGGGTTGGGGGGGGGAGTGGAGGGGGAGTCAGAGGAGGTGCGGGAGGGTGAGGGAAACGGTGAGGAAACCGGGAGAGCCTCAGCTAGCCGGCGTTAGTGGAAATGCATGGGCCACAGCCCTCCGAGGGTGCCAAATGAGTGACTATTACTTGCTCTCTGGACCTGTACAAATGCGCTCAAACATGTAAATGTATCCATGATAAAATGCAAGTGCATGGAAGAATGTTACTTAATTCATGGAACTTTTGCCGTTTGGGTGGTTGTCTCAAATGATTTGGTAGTAAAATTGTACTGTTATGTGAACAATACAATATATAAATTGATAATATATAAATTGATTTTTTACAGAGAGGAGGGGAGAGTTAGAAACATTGATGAGAGAGAAACATCAATCAGCTACCTCCTGCACACCCCCTACTGGGGATGTGCCCGCAACCAAGGTACATGCTCTTGACTGGAATCGAACCTGGGACCCTTCAGTCCACAGGCCAAGGCACTGAGCCAAACAGATTAGGTTCCCCCCTACACACACTCAACTTTTTTTTTTTTTTTTTTTTAAATTCACAAAGGGTTTTCCAAAGGGGATGTGGGGGATGGAAAGCAACAGAAATTGCAGAGGGAAGTAGCTGTTCTACTTTTTCTGGTGGTTACCTTCTCTGAGAAACTCGGGCAGCCACTGCCCCTAACGGGGCACAATATGGGAATTGACCCAGGTCTGAAGGGTAGAAACTGCCACTGATGCTATTGTTCTTTCTGCAGCTACCCAGTGGAGCGTGGCCTCATTACTTCCTGGGGGGACATGGAGATCATGTGGAAGCACGTCTATGACCATAGCCTGAAGCTGAAGCCCTGTGATCAGCCGGTTTTGATCACTGAGCCAGCCCTGAACCCACTAGCCAACCGACAACAGATCGCTGAAATATTTTTTGAGCATCTGGGGGTTCCTGGCTTCTATATGTCCATCCAGGGGGTGCTGGCTCTCTTTGCGGCTGGCTTCACCACTGGCTTTGTGATGAATTCAGGGGCTGGGGTTACTCAGTGTGTGCCCATTTTTGAAGGTTACTGTTTGCCTCATGGTGTCCAGCAGCTACCTCTGGCTGGCCTTGACCTCACCAACTACCTCATGAGTCTGTTGAAGGACCATGGTATCGTACTGCTTAGCGCTGCGGACAGAAGGATTGTCGCAGATATCAAGGAAACCTCTTGTTACGTGGCAATGAACTACAAAGAGGAAATGGACAAGAAGTGTAGTAGCTTGGAGAAAGTTTACCAGCTGCCTGATGGGAGGGTGATCAAGCTCTATGACCAGCTCTTTCAATGTCCAGAGGTCCTTTTTTGCCCATCTCTCATGAACCTGGAGACCATGGGCATTGATAAGATGTGCTACAGCAGCATAATGAAATGCGATAGAGATCTGAGGAATTCCCTTTTCTCCAATATCATCCTTGCCGGGGGATCAACCTTGTTCCCTAATTTAGACAGGCGGCTAGTTAAAGATATAGCAAAGTTGGCGCCTCCCAATACCCCTATACAGGTTAGGGCTCCCCCAGAAAGGAAAATATCGGCGTGGATGGGAGGCTCTATTCTTGCGTCCCTGTCTGCCTTCCAGGATGTGTGGATCACTGCTAAAGAATTTAAAGAAGTAGGTCCCAACATAGTACACCAAAGATGCTTCTGAATCTAGATACAATGCTTACAAGAAAATGTTCCAAGCACGTGGGACAGAAAACTTGGGGATATTATGTTTCTGGAAGAACAGAAAATATTTCAATTATAGGACTGTCCATGTCTCTGTTGCATTTCTATAATCGGGGGAAATAATGGCGAAGCAGTAAAACAACCTGTTTATGGATTAGGGCGAAATTAAAAGCTACAGGAAACATTATTTTTGACTTTGGAGATCTGACATTTCCCTTGGAGAGAGAACAACTTGTGGTACAATGTGTCATGTGCCACATGAGTGATATAGATTCAAGTTCGATGAAGTTTAAGGAACAAAAGGTTGCTATGAGGAAAGATTTCATAGCAAAAGTATGCCATCATAGATGGAATGGCATTGGGAGGGTAAGGGGGGAGGGACAGAAATGCATAAAGGAAATGAACAAGGGGCTAAAGATGAAAATAAACTAAGTGTATTCAAGGCATGTTCAGTGAATGGTTTTGTTAAAATGAAGAAAAAACTCATATGGAGCAACTAAGAGCAACACTAGGAAGGTAAATTAAGGCCAGAGGCTGGAAGGTTTTGTGTTAAACGTCATATAAGCAAAGGGGAACAATTAAAGATTTAAAAGCAGAAGACATAAGGGAATTGAGATGAATGTGGCAATAATTTGGAGGATAAATCGGGGAGGCTCTGGAGATTTGATGTTCAGTTAAAAATTAGACATAATTTAGTTGAGTCTTGGTCCAGCCGGTGTGGCTCATTGGTTTAGTGACGACCTATGAACCAGGAGGTCACAGTTTGGTTCCAGGTCAGGGTACATGCCCTGGTGGCGGGCTGTATCCTTGGTAGGGTGCATAGCCTATCAATGATTCTCTCTCATCATTGATGTTTCTATCTCTCCCTCTCCCTCTCCCTTCCTCTCTGAAATAATTTTAAAAATATTTTTTAAAAAACTAGTTAAAGTCTTGTATTCAAGATTATAGGCAATAGGACTTAAAAACAGATTATGAAAAACAGACAAGTCTTGATGCCTAATTAGATAGATGTGAATTGGGGGGAAGAGAAAGGGGAAGGTCCGAAATGACCTGGGTATCAGAGAGAATGATGGCAGTGTTGACATAACTCAAAGTATTTATAGTATCCACTCTGTGTAAATCATTACACTAAATCAGGAGTCAGATCCTGTCCCAAGGAAGCCAGCAGTCTAGTATAAGGACAATCCATACCTTGATTATCATAATACAAAATAGAAGGTGATTTGGTATCCTAAGTGAAGCATAAAATGCTCTGGGGTTTAATAGGAGGGAAAATACCTTCAGGAGTCAAGGAAGACTTTCTGGTAGATGTGGCTCTGGGCCTGGGCTTGAGGGACTGCTGGAATTTACTTCCCTTTGAATTCAGGGGCAGCATTTGTGGGTTGGGGCCTAAGCCCTGCCACCTTCCAGCTGTCTGTTTAAGCAAATTGTTTAAACACCTTGAAGAATGAGTTCCTCATCCATAGGTGGGGTTGCTAATCCCAATCTGTCTCAGGGTCATTGTGAAGTTCAAATGAGATAATGTCCCCAAAGGAACTTTTGCTCATAGAATTAGAAAATGTATAGTTCAGATGTTACTTCCTCCATGGAGTCTAAATTGACTATGTCCTTCAGCACATCATATCCCACACACATCTATTGACCATTTTATTCATACACTAGAGGTCCCTCAGCCTGGCCTGCAGGGATCGGGCTGAAACCGGCTCTCCAACATCCCTGAGGGGTCCTGGATTGCGAGAGGGAGCAGGCCAGGCCTGGGAATCCCACCAGTGCACGATTGGGGCCAGGGAAGGACCGCAGGTGGGCTTCAGGGCATGTCCAGCCCATCTTGCCCAGTCCCCATTGGCTGGACCCCAGCAGCGAGCTAACCTACAGGCCGGAGCATCTCCTCCCCAGTGGTCAGTGCACATCATAGTGACTAGTCAAACTGTTGAACGAACAGACACTTAGCATATTAGACTTTTAGTCTATAGGATTCTTATCCTTTGATTTACTTGTCTTCCTCACTTTAGAATTCTTAAAGTGCTTTTTTTTCCCCTAAAGAAAATAGGGCTAATTATACATTTACCTAATTTTTAAAAAATATATTTTTATTGATTTTTTACAGAGAGGAAGAGAGAGGGATAGAGAGTTAGAAATATCAATGAGAGAGAATCATTGATCAGCTGCCTCCTGCACACCCCCCACTGGGGATGTGCCCACAACCAAGGTACATGCCCTTGACCGGAATCGAACCCGGGACCTTTCAGTCCGCAGGCCAACACTCTATCCACTGAGCCAAACCGGTTTCGGCACATTTACCTAATTTAAACATCAACATCCCAGAGAGAAATGTTTATTCTCATTTTACAAATTAAGAAATTGAGATTTAAACATGTTAAGAGATTTAAGTTTAAAGTGATCCCAAAATAACTCTCCAGGGTAGGTGGGCACACAGACCTTATCCTGGTGTTAACATAAAAACATTCAAACCTGCCAGTTTGGCTCAGTGGTAGAACGTCAGTCTGCGGACTGAAAGGTCCCGGGTGCGATTCCGGTCAAGGGCATGTATACTGGTTGCGGGCACATCCCTGGTAGGGGGTGTGCAAGAGGCAGCTGGTTGGTGTTTCTCTCTCATAAATGTTTCTAGTTCTCTATCTTTCTCCCTTCCTCCTCTCTGTAAAATATCAATAAAATATATTCAAAAACAAACAAACAAACAAACATTCAAACCTATAAAGAATTTTTGTGAGTTTATTTGAGCCAAACTGTTGACAATTGCTGGGAAGCAGATTGACATAATGTTCCAGAGAATGGCGGGTTTTCCTCTATTTTTTTACATCGCAATCAAAGGATGGACATAGGTGGATTATATGAAATCCATTGGTGATAGACTAGAGAGGCAGGAGAAAGAAAATGAGGCAGGGGGACCTCTGGGATTGGATAAAAAGTAAAATGACAGACACATACTTAGTGTGCAGGAACAATCTATATATATATAAAAGGCTAATATGCTAAGTGTTCCTCCGACCATCCGACCAGTCGCTCTGATGCGCACTGACCACCAGGGGACGGACACTCAATGAAGGAACTGTGGTGACATACACTGGCCATTTACAAAGAAATGGCACTGTGGACCTGGCTTCCCCAAGTGGGACACAGGCCCTGCCACCACCCCAGAGCAACAACACCCCCCCCCCCCATCACAGCCAACGCTGCCAAGACCCCATGGCACAAAATGTGTCCCACAGCCCAGCCCAGCCCGGAAATGGTGGCTAAGGGTGCTAGTCATCACGTAGCAATGACTTGAAGTTTCTTCAGCCCAGGAACATGACTTGCTTTGTAGCCAGGTGGAAACATTTTACACTTTAACCAAATGTCTGTGAAGCATTTTCCTGTGCTTCATCTCATTTGACCCTCACAGAAGTCCTGGAGTAGGCAGATAGGAGACTCAGTGAAATCCTATTTTCTTTTCATTAGCCAGAAAATGGAGATTTATGGTAGAAAGTTTAGAAACTTGACCCGACTGAAAAGAAGAAATGGTGGACCTTGAAAATGACTTCAGGTTTTCTCACTGTGCAGAATATAGTCAAACACTACTACAGTTAAATATTTTACTCTTTGTTCTCTCTTCATGATCTACAATAATGTGCTTCGTGTTAATATTTATTGCTGTGTTGCTGACAATTACCTGAAAGAGAAGTTGGGGTGCTTCACTGAACTGGAAAAAGTTTAACTACCTCAGAAAGCAGGTCTAATTAAGCAAGTTTATTCTTTATCTATAAAAGGCTAAGTTGACTGACACATGCACAATACATATAAAGCTCTTGCTGGCATCAATAGCATGTGCACTGGACTCCTAGTTAACATGATAACAATGAAGGAATTTGTGGTATCTTTCCTAGAATCCAGGCACATTAGCCCAAGAGGCCTGGAAAAAGGGAAGTTACAAGTTACACAGGCATTATTACAGATGCAAAAAGACAGAGAGGCTCAGTTAAGGTAAAGGTTGACCTTGTCAGTAAAGATATTGGTCTAGGACATAAGTACCCACCATAACTGCTTTTAGTTAAAGTTTAATTTCAGACCATCCTTTGTGGTTACTTTAGATCTCTGAGTTTGCAAGTCTGCCATGCAGGCCTCCCCTGAGCTTCTCAGGTTAGCATCTTTCACCCACACTGGTCTCCTAGGTAGTTAACCTAATAGCCAGCTTGGAATATTCTGTAGAATATTCAGCCTCTAACATGAGGTCATAAATGATCCTTATCAGGTAATCTAGGAATAGGGAATAAAATGTGAAAATTCCATTTATATTTTTCCTGCCCTTATAATCATTTGGAACCGACACACCTAATACTTTACTTTTTTCTCAGATTGAGGCTCTGGTAGCAACTCCATGGAATTCACCCAGTGAACACGAGTTCAATTAAGATGAATAATATAAAATAAAATAAATGTATTTTAAGAAGTCTGACAGTTACATGTAAAACACTATTGTATTAGCCATTATAAAACCCTTGCTGCTATTTATAGTGAATTGTTCCTTTTCAACCTAATCAAGACACAACATTAAAAAGCAAAACCAGCCAAAACCGGTTTGGCTCAGTGGTAGAGCGTTGGTCTGCGGACTGAAAGGTCCCAGGTTCGATTCAGGTCAAGGGTATGTACATTGGTTGCGGGCACATCCCCAGTGGGAGGTGTGCAAGAGGCAGCTGGTTAATGATGATTTTCTCTCATCGACGTTTCTAACTCTCTATCCCTCTCCCTTCCTCTCTGTAAAAAAATCAATAAAATATATTTAAATAAAATAAAATAAAATAAAATAAAAATAAAAAGCAAAACCAGCCCTGGTTGATTTGGCTCAGTGGATAGAGCCTCAGCCTGTGGACTGAAGGGTCTCAGATTCCATTCCAGTAAAGAGCATATGTCCTGGGCTGCAGGTTTGATCCCCAGTGGGGGGTACAGGGGATCAGTGGTTCTCATCATTGATGTTTCTCTCTC